TAAAAAACACTGCAGTCTCGGGCAGGAAGTAAAAAACACTGCAGTCTAAGGCAGGAAGTAAAAAACACTGTCGTCTCGGGCAGGAAGTAAAACCACTGCAGTCTCGAAGTGAAGCGCCGATTTAATGGCGGACCCCGAAGCTTCTTATCGGTGCATTTCTTTGTTGTGGTTTGTGCTCCACGCCTATCATCCTCAGCCCTGAGGGGTTTGACCTGCTGAACCCATAAAGCCCCCCCGGGGGGTGGGGGGGGGGTGTTCCTGCAAGCTGGCGTGTGCGTGCAGATGTGTGCACCCTCTGTATTTGTGAGCGAATGAAACAAACAGGTGTGTGTGAGGAAGACGAGGCTGATTTCCTCATTTTAACCCAAACTGACCTTTCTTTATATCGTCCCCGTTTTTTCCTCATTTCCTCCTCATCCCTGCTTTTGGTTCCGATCCTCAGCTCCATCTTTTCTTTCATCCGGTTGTTTTTCAGCGGACGACTTCATCGCTCTCCGACTCTTCTATCCATTTTCTTTCTTCTGTGCCTCCGTGTGATTTCCAATCCCGCTTCATTAGGTTCAGTGGATTGGCTTTCTTCCTGCAGCACACCCCTCCACCACCTGGGCTGATTGGCTTTCATTACGGACAAGGGTGTCTGCACACACACAAACACACACACAGTGTGCTGTATCCCACCGAGGACCCACTCCAATACCCACCACTATCTGTCACCTCTCTTCCATCTCCATCTCTGGCCTTTCTCCATTTCAATCTCTCTGTCGTATCGCGTCGGTTCCATTCGTCCTCGCTCCCGTCTCAAGCACTCGGAGGTGAAATGAAGCGGTTAGCCGAGCTTTGCGTGCGTCCGGTTGTGTAAAGACGGCAGGAGCCGGGGACACGTGCGGGACCTCGGACGCTGACCCTGCCAGGACGTGTTTTATTTTAAGGAGACATACGTGTTTTTTTTTTGTTTTTTTTCCCTCCTCGGAAGAGGTCGTCACCTGTCGGCTCGAGTCGCAGCGTTAGAGGTTAGCTTTTTATTAAACACCACTTGACAGGAGGAGGTGAGCAGCTTTTATTGACCCTGAGCAAACAGTGTGTTGACTCACACACTCACAAGTCCTTTACCCATGTCGAGATGAGCTGGAGCAATCGCTGACCAAACTGAAAAATATTTCTGGTGGGTTTTTTTATTTTTATGCGTGCGGTTTTTTTTACTTTGTCACCAAAAGTGCACCGCACGATAACGTTCTCATGAAAAAACACTCGATCGTAATCTAACAAAGTTAAGTCCTCTGGGTCCTAGGTCCTCTGGACAGCTTCTTCTCGTTGAAACATTTCATATTTTATCCAAAGGACTTCTTCAGTCTGAGGAGCTGCAACAAACTCAGTCTTATAAATAGCACCTTTTCATAGTGGATCAACCAGTTTGTTGGTGACATCCGGAACTAGCTGTTCATATGATCAAGGACCATCAGCCAAACGACTCATCGTTAGTGCCCTGATGGCTGCTTGTTATTCGCAGAGGGCTGAGTGATGTAAGAGGGGGACAGGTGGACATGGAGGCTCCGCCCCTGTTAAATGATGGATGATTTTTCTTCACAAAGATGGCTTCCTTCACTCCTCTCAAACCATCGTTCCTCTGGCCTGGACATGAGTGTAGACCGCAGAGTCCTGGCCTGATGGTGTTGCTCTTCAGTGCTGGTCCATCCTTTTGGCCAGTGGCTGTTTATTTTCGCCGATGTAAGACTGATCACCCTCCTGACACTGAACAGCATACACAACATTACTCTGTTTGTGCCGGGGGACTGGATCTTTGGCATCGATTGTAACTTTTAACGAGCATCAAGGAGGACGCGTTTTATCTGTGTGAAAACTGCTTCGGAACAAATATTGGCTTCAAATTGCATAAAGTGCAGGAAATTTGCAGCGCTGTTCGGGTTCAGGACGGTGATCTATTCGACATTGAGTGATTTGTCTTTTCTGCACAACGACCACGTTTTCAAAATGTACTCTAGTTTTCAGCCGCGCGCCTCTTTTCGCCAAATCTGTTCCAAGTTTGCTTCAAAGTTTTTTCATTCTTCCACTTTTAACAGCAACTAGTTTTGACTTCCAGTCAGTTTTCAACAAAACATACAAACAATATAGATGCACTAGCTAAAAAGCTACAGACGTAGCGCTCCGCTCCTCTCATGCCCCTCCCCCCCCCCATGGTCAACAACTGCCGGCACTAATGCAGCGCTAAACTAGCGTGCTACACAGACGAGTCTCCGTCTCACTCGCACCAAGACGTGCCGATTATGTTTACGCCGAATGTCCTTTCTGACGCAACCACAGCCCTCTGTGTGGAGCAGAGAGCTGCCATCTAGGGCACCCAGGGGAGCAGATGATGGGGGTTAAGGGCCCAGGGTGGGGCAATGAGGGTGGAGGCAGGTGCGGGTGTTTCACCTTTCCCACCCACATGTAGATGTCGGTTTGGCGACCTTCCGATCACAGGCCCACTTTCTCTAACCTCTGTGCCTCCACTCCCCCTACACACACGTTTGTGTATATGTATATATATATATATATATATATATTGTTTAAAGTATATATTTTTAAATGATTGTGGTGGCTGAATGTTCACCCACCACTGGTCACCCCTTGGCTCCACCACTGCACCTGACGGTGGATAAAACTCCTCCCTCTATTCTCCAGGATCCGTCACTCACTTGAATATCTTGCACCAAAAACATTTAGGTTTACTTCATTCTCTGATCAATTCCAGTCCAGACAAACACTCATTGCTGAAACTACAAACACTCACTGTTCAGATCCCTCAGAGACGGGGACATCGACCTACCATTTTCAGCCGCTAGATGGCACTCAAGTAGTATGGCATGCCGTTGTGTCATGTAATAGTTAAAAGTGGCTATTAATGACACAATCGGCTTGCCATAGCCTGCCACCTTCGTCCAGCTCGCTTGGAGCAACTGAATCAGCTTCATTTCTCTGCCCCGCTGAAATGCAGCTCATTTGACCATTAAAGTGCGTTTATTAAGTAAAAGTTCAACTGAGACGCACTTTTGCTATAAAGTCGAGCAAAGAAATCATTGTTTTAGGTGCTTATCTTGTTAAAGTCCTCGCGCACACGCTCCCGCAGCCGCCATTTGGTTTTTGGCACAACACCGGCCCACGTTTCCCGGTTGTCAGCGGTGATGCATGATACATGCGACGTACAGGGCAAAGCAACCTATTTATGGATTTTTCCATATTATTAGACATTTTTGTACATATGTGACTTATAAGCCGGAAAATGTTATCTTTGTCGCTTCTTTCTTCCTCCACTTTTCCGCCTCCACTGCAGGATTGTGACCCTGCGCGACATCGTTTTTATAACTGTTAAAATTGGGGTTTTATATTTTGGCCTTCCACTGCAGCAGGAAGGACTAAGCTGGCTTCTAGCCACGCAGACTTTTCTCTTCTCTTCTCCAACATGAAGCTTTTTATCTGTTTAAGGTCACGTGGCCGGGAATACTTTGTAGTTTCAAACTTTGGAAGCTTTATTTTGTCTTTCACATGCGCAGACAAAACCCCTTTTTATTTCCTCTTTGCTGTTTCCAGTTGAAGTGTATTTTTGTACACGCGTAGTCTCATTACATCATTCCCCCGCTCGGTTTATTCTGTCTGCAGGGAAAATTGACCTCATGAAAAATGAAAAGGATTATTTAAGAGAAAAAGCAGCTTTAATGGAAACCAATTATTTCCTCTAAACGCAGCACGTGCGGCGGCTTCTGACGGTCGGGTTCCAGGTTGGATTTCCGCTCGTTTTCTCTCCTTTTTATTAGTTGTCTCATCTTTATCTGCTCTCATTTTCTCGCACAATCCTAGTCTTTATTTTGCTGCTTTTGTTATATTTTGCTGCTTTTTCATTTCCTGTCTCGGTGTGTCGTCGCCGCGGTTTGCAGGGATTCATTTCCAGCGTTCGCCCGCACCTTTATGAACACGGGCGCCACCTGCTTTGTATTTCAGAATATAATTTTGGTGCATTAACGGGTAATAAGTTTTGTTACTCTTTTTTTTCTTGTCCCAGTGGCTGATGAGAGCAACGTTGGATCACTGGTGGGTCACAGAAATGGTGAGTTTGATCAAATCACCGTAAATAAAAGCTCTAATTCAAATGTTTTTAATTTATTTTACATACAAATCGACAGATTTAATCTTGTTTGCTTTACTATCCAGTAAATCGAACTAAAAACAAACCAGCATTGTGTATAAATTCTCATTCCTCATGTGTTTGTTTGATCTAATTCTTAATTTCCTGTTTTGTTGCACATTTTTTAAATCTATGTTAAATCTTGTTTAGTGTAATTTCTTTTGTCTCTATTTTTTTTATTTGATCTAATTTTTCAGTTTTTTTTCGTTCCTTATCTTTGTTTTGTAATTTTTTTTCATTTTCTCATTTCGTCAAATCCAGTTTTTCTCGATTGATGTTCTTATTTCATTTTCTGTTTTTTTTTTACACGTTATTGTTCTCATTTTGTCACAATTTTCCCGATATTTCACTTTATTTCAATTTCCTTTAATCTAAATCTGTTTTCTTCTTTAGTCTTATTTGTGTTACCATTTTTTTATATCATTGTTTTTAATAATAATAATTTTATTTGAAGGCACCGGTCATGGCCCTCGAGGACACCCTACAGTAAAATACAATATGGAATGTAGTAAAACAAAATATTAAAACAATAAATTATAAAGAACAATATAAACATACATAACATATGTTAAATACAGGTAATATGATGAGAGTGATGTGAGGACCTGAGGGTCCAGGTGGGTGTGTTGATGTTGAGAAGTTCTGAGAGATACTGAGGGATGAGGTTGTTGAGGACTTTGAGGTGACGAACAGGATTTTGTAAGAAATGTGATTTTTAATGGGGATCCATTGAAGATTCTGCAGGACAGAGGTTATATGATGAGTAAATGGTTCTGGAGATGACTAGAGCGGCAGAGTTTTGGACCAATTGGAGTTTAAGGACCAAAATGTTGAGTTGCAATAATCTAGGTGGGCTCTGACCAAAGAGTGAACCAGAACATCAGCACTGTTGGCAGACAGGGATGGACAAAGACGAGCGGTTACGGAGATGAAGGTAAGCTGAACGAGTGATGTTACCGATATGGGAATTAAATGATAACGTGTTGTCTAGGATGATACCCTGACTCTTGACCTAGGGGGAGGGGGAAACTGAAGTGGTTGATGAGAATGGAAAAGTTGCCGGTTTTTTGCAAGAGTGAATTTGGCGCCAATGTGAAGAAATTTGTTTTGTCACTGTTTAGTTTGCGGAAGTTACTGGGGAACCAGGATCTGATATCATAAAGGCAGTCAGAGGACGAGGTGGGTGGAAGGGTGCATGTGGGGGTGGTGGACAGATAGATCTGGGTGTCATCCGTGTAACAGTGGAATTGGATATTATGTTTTCAAAAAATGTTTCCAAGTGGAAAGAGGTAATGATAAATGGAAGAGGACCGATGACAGAACCTTGTGGAACACCGGAACAGAGAGGCGCATGATTTTAATAGTACATTTGTTTCTCTTTTTATAAGATGGTGTCATTTTCTTCGGTTCTTTTTTTTGTCTCAACATTTCTCAGTGTCATTCTTCTGAATTTGTCTTTTCTCATTTAGCTGCAGTTTTACCAGTAATTCATCTCATTTTCTCACATTTCTTAGTTTCAAAAATTTCTTATTTACTGTTTATTTTAAATCTATTTTCTTGTTTTGTCTTATTCATTAGATTTTTTTAAATTTTATGATACATTTATTTTCTCATAAAAACTTGTATAGTTTCTCATTTTATCTCATCTTTTCTCAGTTTTTCTCATCCATCTTTTTTCTAAAATTTTCAATATTTAGGACCCATTTTTGTATGTACTTAATTTGTTTTTCAAATTTTACGCCATTTGTTCATTATTTTATCCAATCTCATTTTTATGTATGTAACCTTTTTATTTAACTATTCTTGGGACTCTCCCTCTTTCCACAACCAACGTGACAAAGTCGAGACACAAACCCGGGTGTGAACTCTTGCTGCTTCAGAACCATCAAAAAGCTTGTAGCGTTCAGTCCTCACCCAGCTGACAGCAGCAGGATTACATCAGTTTCTTTAATTTTGTTCATTCTGCCTCATTTTATTTGAAAAATGCCTGCTCAAAGACAAACTGGCACATAAATGTTTTTTTTCCTCACAGTGATGAGTTGAAGCACTTCAGAGCTATTATTCTCCTAATATGAGAGTGTTCATAGTTCAAGAACAGAAAACACAAAGAAAGACATCTTTCATATCATACTGGCTGACAGGATCTCTTTAAAGTGTGTTATGCAGAAACCAAAAAAGAGACATAATTCAACCTGTTTTAGACATTTTGCTCACACTGTTGTCGGTCTTACTTTCTGTGGTCTACTTGTCCATCATCGTGGAGCGAAGAGGGGGGAATTGAAATACCTTCCGTCTGCTTGTCCGTCTGTCCGTGCGTATTGTGAGAATAACTTGAAAATAATTGAGATGATCTAGGTGAAAGACGGGTTCATTTTGAAAATTGGGTGGCCAGGTCAAACTCCAAGATGGCTGCCACCATATATGTATATATGTCACCTTTGTGAGCTGGACCATTTAAAAAATAGGCAATAAGACCACATCTGTTTTGGTGTTGGGCTGCATCTAGGTGTAAATTAAAATGACCTTAGTCGTGATTTCAGCTCCCTGCCTCCTCTGCTCTTTGCCACCTGCAAGTGCTCTTGGCCACGCCCACTTCTCAACTCTGCACGCTGAACAGCTGATCAGCCGTTCGGCTGCAGTAGGGAGTTTACCCTGCAGCAGTATGGGCTGCACAAAGCTGCAGAAGGTGCTAAATAATATATTTTAAATAAAAATTCCATGCCAGTCGTGCGGCTCATCCATCAATCAACCAATTGTGCGTCATGTCCACTCTTATTTTGAAAAAACGCGATAGAGCGAGTCCGCGATAAACGAAAGAAGCGAGGGACTACTGTAGTGTCAATATTGCTTCAAATTATAGTTTTCTCAAATAATTACGAAGGCTTAAGATTAATCTAGGGTGGCCAAGGTCAACACTGGCCCCGCCAGCCCCCCACCCCGGCTCCTCCATCGCACCTAGTTGGAGATAAAACATCTCCCTCCGCTTGCCAGGATCTTTTCACGCTGCGCTGCCTTGGACAAGAAAAAATAAAACAAAAGGAAAACCAGTGTATCGCCAACCATTATACACGGAGGGTGCCCTGCCTAACCAACGGTGACCCCAAAAATCACGGAACAGGTGAGCGCCCTGCCCACTTGAATATCTTGCACCATAAACCTGTAGGTTGAGCTGTTCAGTTCCAGTTCAGAAGAACACTCATCTCCAAAACTACAAACATCCACTACTCAGGCCCCTCAGGGACGGGGGACATTGTTGTACTGCTTGTTTAGGTTGTGAACTACATTTAATTTGAGGCTTGTCCGAGTTATTTTGGGGACGACCTCTTAAATCCACCTGAAACAGCCGTTAAAGTTCGTGGAATACAAATGTCCCGACGCTCAGCTCAGATTCCCCATACTCAGCATTCCTACAAGTGGCTCCGCCCCCTCCCCTCTCTTCGTTATAATTATCCCAGGGTTACTAAGGTCTTCGATAAATAAAGCGATCCACTCCTTCCGTTCTTCCTGCCTTTCCTCTCTTTTCATCTTCCCTCCGGTTGACGTCTCGGCTAATGCTTATTGACGGGGCCTTTGCGTGTTCTTCGTCTTTTTGCTGACGCGGCGTGTTTGCCTAGCTTCCTGTGCCGTGCCCCCCCCCCAACGCGAGTGCCGCTGCCCACCTCACTAAATGGCCTTACTGTTTCTTTATGGGCTTTGACATATTTCATTAGGCGGATGGTCTTAAGAGGCTCGCCTGGCTTCTTTAATCTGGCTAAAACCCTTTTTCTTTTTCTCCTCTCCTGCTCTGAGGTGCACTCTCCCTCGTTTTCTCATTCCTTTCTTCCCTCCATCACGTTTTTCCCCACTCCCTTCCTTTTTCTGTCGTGCCTCTGCATCTTATGTAGAATTTTTTTTACCTTTTGTTTTTTGGCGGAAACGTCTTCCTCGCGGCTCCTCTTCATCTCCTGTCGCCAGCTCGTCGCCCATTTTTAGCATCTTCCCAATCCCAAAACGCCATTCTCCCTTTCTGCCTTTTTATCCTCCTCTCTGTTCTACATCCAGTTTTCTCTTTATTTTCGCTTTGGTTCTCTTCTTCTCAACAGACTGATCCTTTTTTTAGGGTCCCTCTCCCCTTTCCCCCCTTGCTCTGTTGCCGCTGGATGTGTTCCAGTCTTATGTGATTATGGTGAACATGCTCCAGTCTTGGAGTTTCCTCCTTCCAACTGATTTTGGAAACTCTGAGTGTGTGTGTGAACACCCTGCAGACAGCCAGAGGAGTAATGAACAAGATATTCCTTCATTCATTCCTCCAGTTTGCTCCTGTAGAGTCTCACATCTCCTCAGGCAGCAGGCTGCCCTCTTACAACACACCTGGGAGCTCATCCAGCACAAACTCCCACCCACTCATCCTCACACGAGATATCCACACTCACACGGTGTGTGCAGTCGCAGGAGGAGATGAGCCTAATGCTGTTTTGGCTGCATTTCTGTGTTTTTTGGTCTTTAGCTTCATTGAATGTTTTCTCCTGGTCATTTATAGACGGCGACGATTGTCTTTGGAGTTCATCGTCTTGTTGGCTAAACGCTCATCAGTACGTGTGGCCCTGTATGGCATTAGTACTTAGTCTTTAGGATGGCCTCATTCACTATTCCCTTCATTTTATTTCAGACATTTACTCCACGTCTTGTCTAGGCGTGTCGCGATAAACAATAAATGAATTAATCGCATGATAAATGAAAATTATCGACCTAATTTTCATTTATCGGCTTTATCGTTTCTTCGTGTCTCTCTCTTTCTGCTGGACACTGGATGACAAAAAGCTCAACTACGTTGCCCTTCATTGACTCCTCCCTTTCTCTTTTCTCTTTAAAATCATTTTTAACCGTCCAAAATCGTGTTTTAGGGATCGTTAAAAGCAGCTAAGCTACGAGCTAAGCTAACC